GGCAGGATTCGCGTTGGCGGCGGAGCTTGAGGCGTTCCCAGGCACGGTTTTTGATTGGTCAGTATGTGGGTTTTCGTCGGCATTTGGTTTCCCCTGGGGAGCGGGTGATGAAGGCAAGATGAACTGGTATGCCCTAACCAGCCACATTGAAAGTAGATTATAGGCATATTCTCGTAAACTACACGTTGTTGCTTGCCATTTATGGAGAAGTGGACACAAAGTGGCTTGGTAATGTCCACGACCACCACCAGTCGCGCAAACTTCCCACGAGTTCGGGCTGCCGTTTGCTGATCGATCTTAACAACCTTTCCTACTATCCGTCCAATGGTACGAAAGATTTTCTTATGGTACAAATGAGCGGGCATTCCCGACAGACGGATCCAAGCAACAGTGGAACTCACTTCTGCCTGTGTTGCATCAAAGTCAATTGTCCATGGCTGAACATGCATATAGCCGTTGCCAATGACGTACGGTCCCCCCGTTAGAACTTTCACCGCATCCTCATGAATACCAAATTGGATAAGATAATACCCGTTCTCCAGATCCATCATGTTGCACCCTGCCATGAAGGGCCACAGTTTGGTCAATCGATTGTATAGCGAGGCCATGGTGATGGACTCATCAAAGGGTTTAACTACAACCGCATTCTTCCAATCTCTACTAATATGCTCAATGAAGCGTTGGGTAATTTTCATCGCCGGTATCGGGCTAGAGAAGTCGACCGACACATCCCCCTTGTCCTCCTCAGTCCCCTCATCGTCCTCCGGTCCCAAATCTACATGGGTTTTGTGTTTGTTCACCATATCCCGAAAGGTCCATCGGGGAGGGGGCTTGCTAGCAGGCGTTGGGTTATCCACCGGTGGCGAGGCTGGAAACGTTGATGAGTAAGGCCCTTGCTGATCCAGAAACTCGCCCGATATTTTCCGCTGACGTTTAGATGTCGGGATAAGGGCTGTCGATAAGGGAGGGAAGTACTGATCGTTGGAGTGAGCCGGCAAATCGACTCCGGGGTCGAAAGTTGCCGTGACGGGATTGAAGGTCGCGAGAGGATTCTCCTTAGGTTCCATGGATATGATATATAAAAATATTTAGATGGTGTATATATTAATACATTAAGTATTGATTAATTATATATATTTTTTGTTACAATCTATGTGCATAATATCCATTGGAAGAGATAACTGCAAATTTCAATTTATTATTTATCATTTAATTGCGTTTGTATTTTGTTTGTAAAATATTAATGTATAATTCCTTACATATTTTCACATAAAAGAAAAAACTGAAAGTAACAAATGATCAACTTTTTATTACATTAAATCAATCAGATTAAATTTACTAATATATAATTTCAAACCAAGAACTAAAATAAAATGAAATATAGGTAAAATGGATGATAAAACGCAAATGCCTAAAATTATGCAAGAAAATTAGAAATTATATTACATATAAAAGTCGAATAATAGGGATTGTAACATTCATATAAAAGTGGAATAAAGTAAAAAAGAAAACAAAATTAATGTCTTTTGGCAGGAAACGATAATATTTTTATTTATTACATTGATAGCAATTATATATATACAAGTGTGCTCTAATGAGAATGAACTATTGTGAAATAAATGAGAATTAATTTAGGTCGAGCTGAAGAAAATAGTTGTCAACTCATTATAGTGCAAACAAGTTCTCTTCTTCATATCTTTATCATTTTTGTGTACATGTGACACAATAATATTTTTGCTTTAAAAAACGACTACAATGCACAATCATATATAACATAAACACATAAAGAAACACAACAATGTAATGAAGTCCAAGCCTGTTCAAATACAAACTCACGTGTTTAATTCATAATTCTCAAACCCCTAGTCACATTTTCTAAACGAATAAAACAATTATGTAATTAGAACCCGACAAGCATATGCGCAATGATACACAAACTCATACAAAAAATAAATACCGAGCACATAATACAAAACACAAACTTATTTCACGTACAGTAAAACTTTTAACTCGACTAACCCAAGCCATTTACCCCAAACGTCTTCACCTCCAGTGATCATGTTGAGATCTTTGTCCCATACAAAGCCGATATCTGTCGTCAACATGTTGTGGAAACGACGCAAATTGGCCTTCATACGACCCTGCTTACTCATTTCATATGGTGGTTCCATGGAGCATCTTTCGTTCAGTTTTTTCAAGATTTTATTCCACTGATGTGTGTTGAACTTACCGCTGATGCAGTTGCCCATCACAACCTCGTCATACATCATTGAAATGAAGCAAGCCTCTGTCTCGGGAGTCCATTTAGATTCGGACTTCTTCTTCTTCTTCTTGGAACTGTCAACCCCCTCCATACTCGTCATCTACATTATCCACAACATATATATCTTTTTGTACCGTAATGTTCGTAAACTTCATATGAACCAACCGTTATGGGAAACTGGAAAGGAGAAAACTCTCCTAATCCCCTTCAAACACCGTGAGAATAACATGATGTATGAAAGCAACAGAAAAATGAACAAACAAATGCAGTTCTTATTCTCAGTAAGTAAACAGTTGCGGCTCCCAATACAGTAAACAAAAAAAATAATAAACAAACAAATGCAGTTCTATGACAATCCGTTTTCATCAAATCACTCAAAAAGAAAAATAAATTAAAAAGAGCATATTTTCCCTACACAATCAAACACAAAACACTACTAATAAAACAAAATTCATAACAACAGTATGTATACAAACAACAAGGAACCTACAAATACAAAAATGAAATTATTGACGAACCCTAATTCCCAAATTTTGGATTTAAACCCGATGTGTAGTGAGGGGTTTGCTGTCCTGTTTTTTGTTGTTTGATTATAGCCCTAAGCTAAGCTTTGTAGCAGTGGTGAGGGGTTACTTTCATTGTCTTAGTTGGTTGTTTTTGTTTCAGTTTTTGGTTGTAGTTTGGTTGATTTTGCTTGTTGAGGTTCTAGACAGCCTTTGGCGTGTCTCTCAGTTTATTTTTCAGAGTAGTTGTGTTTCGTTGTATTAGAACGTTGTTCGCCTATCTTTTTAATATAGTTTTCTCTGCCGTTTTAGGAAAAAAAAAACCCGATGTGTGGAAGGTGTTAGGAAAAAATCAATTCATCACTATATTCAGTCACAAGCACGATCGTTCAAGGAAAATGATAAAATTTCATAGCAAAATAATCGCAATAGAGGGCTGACTTACCTGCATCGTCGCTCGTTTTTTTTTTCGCCAGCGATGTGACTGAAGCACTGTTGATGCTCTCGGTGCTGACGTCAATCGTCGCCGTTGCGTGGTGGCTCCCAATCTCCTGGAAGTTCACTGCCGGTCGTGGAGAAGATTGGTCTGTGGTCATTTTACCACAAAATGCTTGGTTCTTTTATGGTGGTGGGTGGGTGGTTGAAATTGGGAAAGGTGAGGTGGATTTCAAAAACGAGGGATATGAGTGACGGAATAGATCTGTGTATTTCTACAGATTAGTTGTGTATGTCTGCATGTGATGGACCCATAAAAAGTAAAAGCAAAAATAATAAATTGGTAAACAAACACTAACAACAGTATCATGTGAATTATTTCGATGGGGAATAATTTTTAGAGGAAAAACTGGTTAACAAACACAATCATAGTATTTGTGTACTATGAACTGGTTGTAATGTAGTCACTTGACTATGCGGTTATACTTCTTTGTGAGTTTCATGTTATGGTTTTATTTGCGGTTGGGATTTAACAAAAAAAAGACTCTTTCTCATTGTCCAAAACATTCGCGGGCGGATCTACCTTAGCCTTGGGGGGGCCATTGTCCCCCAAAACTTTTTATTTTGCTAATTAATATATATGTATGTATAATTATTCTAAGATTTATAATATTTTTAATATTTATATGCATACATACATATACTATATATTAAACATTTATATATCATATTCAATTTATGCTCATTCCCATAATTATTACAAATTAGTGTATCGCTCTATTTACTAGTTAAATTTAACTACATCATATTTTGTAAGTATCATTTCAACAATGTTTTGTAATATTTTGTGTTTGATCTTACGTACAATTAAAGAATTAAATAGTAAATTTGGAATAGAAGAACATGCAACATATGCAATCCGAAAGAGAATTGATAGAACTATTAATACGACAATAGCCCTTCTCTTTGCTACTTAATAGTTAGACAACTACACTCTTCCAACAATTATATTTATACTTTCATACTTAAATCTCATATACTTTATAGTGTAGTATAAATAAAAGTATGACATTTCATAGTATAACAATACATTTTTAATATGAAAATATATTTGTCTAACAATTCGATAGCCTACCAATTATATGATTTTTGTTAATATGGAGCAAACCATCAATGAGTTTCGCAACTGTAAAGAATGTTGAGCATTAAACTACCAAAATTAAGAAGTTATGTATTTTGTAGTGCAATTCATTGATTATTAATTTTATCCATTTTAAAATGCAATTTTACGCCTATATATGTATGTGTGAGAGAAATACTATAAATTATATTGTTCCACTCGAAATATTATCCGTGTCGAGTCAAGTTGAATTCCTCATGTTTAATCTTGTGATAATTTAATAAATGAGCCGGATCAGCTCGACTATTTAGTAAAAAAATATGAGCTCAAACTCGACTTGTGTAAACTTCAATCTATTCCATTTGTTTAATAAAAATATTTGAATAGTCATTCTAGCTCAGTAAAATTTCACGAGTTGAACAAACTCAATCTGATTCCAATTAACTGCTTTGGCCCCTCCTAAATTTTTTTCTAGATCCGTCCCTGGGTTGGTTGGATGTCATTTCATGGAAAATACTATAGTCTCGTTGGGGAATAATTTCGTCCGGTTTTTTATCCGTACAAACGCAATGGTCTTGTAAGGAAATGGTAATCATCCCGTCACTCGGGTGCAATTGCGGATTACCTTAGTCAAAAGCAAGAAGTCTCCTTTTACAACACACCGTTTGATCATCCACGGATGCTACATAGAGTCTTGCCGCCATGGCAGAGCTTGGCAAAGCATCATCATCGTCTGCATTGCATATTCTCCTTTCTGCAACACGATCTCTCAACGTCGGCTTCTCAATTGTACCAGCACGAGCCGCTGATCGAGGAAAAAGAAGCACTGCCATCCCCAACCACAGAGTTCGATTCTCATGCGTACGCGGGAATTCTCCAGCACTGCACCAAAACCAACGACCCCAACAACGGAAAAGCCCAGCACTGCCACATCTTGAAGAGGGGAAACTGTTTGGATTTGTTTTCTCGCAACATTTTGCTCAACATGTACGCGAAAACAGGGTTTCTGCATGACGCAGTTAGGCTGTTCGATGAAATGCCTGATAGAAACGTGATATCCTTTGTTACAGTGGTTCAGGGATTTATGGAACACGAAGAGTACAAAAAGGCCGTTGATTTGTTCTCCACGTTGCATAAGGAGGGTCATGAGCTAAATGCTTACGTTTTCACCACGCTTTTGAAGTTGCTTGTGAGCATGGGCTCGGTGGATCCGGTGTGGGGCATACATGCTTGTGCTCACAAGCTAGGTCACGACTCCAATGCTTTTGTTGCCACCGCTCTTGTTGATTGTTATTCAGTTTATGGGTGTGCAGGGGCTGCTAAGGAAGTGTTTGAGGGAGTTGTTGACAAGGACATGGTTTGCTGGACGGGTATGGTTTCGTGTTATGCTGAAAATAATTGTCATGAAGAGGCGCTGGACCTCTTTGGCCGAATGAGGTTCGAAGGCATGTTGCCGAATAATTTCACTTTTGGGAGTGTGATTAAGGCTTGTGTCGGGCTTAATGCTGTTGGTTTGGGAAAGAGTGTTCATGGCTTAGTTCTGAAGACTAGTTACGAGCAAGATGGTTATGTTGGCGTCTCGTTGCTTGACCTGTACACTAGATGCGGAGACATCAACGATGCCCGGAAAGTGTTTGAGGAGATCCCTAAAGATGATGTTGTTCCCTGGAGCTTCATGATTGCCCGCTACTCACAGAGTGATTGCTGTACGGAGGCCTTGGATATGTTTCTTCGGATGAGGAAGACGACAGTATGGCCTAACCAGTTCACTCTAGCAAGCGTTCTTAAAGCCTGCGCAACTCTTGCTGAACTGGAATTGGGAAAGCAGATCCACAGTCACATTCTCAAGGTCGGTCTCGACAGGAATGTGTTTGCATTGAACGCACTCATGGACGTGTATGCCAAATGTGGAAAGATGGAGGCCTCGATGGATTTATTCGCGGAGTCCCGAAATATAAACGAGGTCTCGTGGAACACGATGATAGTCGGGTACGTCCAGCATGGCGATACCGAGAAAGCCTTTACACTCTTCTTGAATATGCACGAGGAGGGAGTGAGGGCGTCTGAGGTAACATACTCCAACTTACTCCGTGCTGCCGCCAGCATGGCTGCTCTGGAAGCCGGCGTTCAGATCCATGCAGTGGCTGTCAAAACCATGTACGCAGGAGAAGATGTCGTTTGCAACGCACTCATCGACATGTACTCGAAATGCGGGCGTATAGAAGACGCGCGTCTCGTTTTCGACTCCATGGGCGAGCGCCGAGACATTATCTCGTGGAACTCGATCGTGTCGGCGTACGGGACCCACGGCCTCGGAGCCGAGGCTCTGAGAATATTCGAAAGCATGCGCGAAACCGATATCATGCCTAATGAGATGACTTTCGTGGCCGTGCTCAAGGCGTGCAGCAACACGGGGCTGTTAGAGCAAGGGCAGTCGTACTTTGCCTCCATGCGGGAGGATTACGGGATCGAGCCTTGCATGGAGCACTACACATGCATGGTGTCGCTTTTCGGTAGGTCGGGTCATCTCGACAAGGCTATGAAGACGATAGAGGAGATCGCGAACGAGCCGCCGAGCGTAATGGTGTGGCGAGCCTTGCTTGGAGCTTGCGTCGTGCACAAGAACGTCGAGATCGGGAGGTTGGCTGCCGAGCGCGTGCTCGAGATGGAGCCTTTAGATGAATCTGCGCATGTGCTGATGTCAAATATATACGCGACTGCCAAGAGTTGGGACAATGTGGCTGTTGTTAGGAAAAGCATGGTGAGGAAAAGGGTGAAGAAAGAGCCGGGGCTCAGTTGGGTAGAGAACCAGGGGACGATTCACTATTTTGCAGTTGGGGACGATTCGCATCCAGAGATCAAACTAATCCGGTGTATGCTCGAGTGGTTGAACCTGAGGAGCAGTATAGCTGGGTATGCTCCCAACTGTGATGCTATCTTGCTTGATGTGGAGGAGGATGAGAAGGCACGTCTATTGTGGCTGCATAGTGAGAGGATAGCTTTGGCGTATGGTCTGCTTAGGCTGTCTCCTGGGAGTCCTATACGCATTATTAAAAATCTCCGGATATGTGCCGACTGTCATGTGGCGATTAAGTTCGTGTCTCAGTTGGTGCGGAGAGAAATTGTCATTAGGGATATAAACCGGTTTCACCACTTCAGGGATGGTGTTTGCTCTTGCAATGATTACTGGTGATTCTTTGACAAGTCTGTTCGCTGTGGATGGAAAATGGTTGTACACCACTGATGAGTACTGACTATCCTTTGTTGGTCAGTCATCCATAACTTGCCTGTCCCTTACTAACCTTTATAAATTGTCAAAAATTGATTTCTGTATGTTATAATTCCCTTTTCTTTATTACCAACTTTTTTTTGGTTACAGCATCACTTTTTTTTTTTCAATTTATTCAAAAAATGCCTTACGGTATTTGGTTGCATTCCCGGCTGCCCGCTTAGTTGTGTTTCCAAGCTCAAATTTTGTTGGCAATATAATTTATGTCAAAATGGCTGTATTAGATTTATAACGTGTCCGCCTTATTATTTTCTATTTCGGCAAAAGTTTTTAATTTCAAAAGCTGCACCAGTTTACTATAAAATTACTTATATGTAATGGTGTTGCATTGGAGGTATTTATTTTTATCTTGTTTTTTCTTAAGTATTTTACATATGTATAAGCATTTTTTTTTTTTTTTTCAATTTTTAACTTGTGATTATTGAACAGCATGCTGATGTAACTGCTCACCATTTCCTGAACAGGCTCTTGAAGGACTTGCCTTAAAAACGAACATTGTTGCTCTATGGTTATTAAGGAGCAAGCTCTTTTCTTTACCATCAGGTAGCTTCAAATTTGCCTTTTCTATTCTTCTGATTTTTGGATTTTGGATAAGAATTTTGTTTATCTAGATTTATGTATTTCTTGAAAGAAAGGCGTCCAAAGTAACATGGATCTCCTAAAAACAACTCTTTTTGACATGGGAAAGTTCTCAAGACCAAGACCGTTCCAAGCCACCAACCCGTTGGTGCTTCATGTGCCGTTGCTAAAAAAGATAACATCATGCAAAAATTCATTTTTCAAAGGTATTTCAACACAGGTGCTTTACATTTTCTTACCTTCTCTGCCCAAATAAGTCTTTTTTTACGACCGATTTTGGATTATACTGTTGTAGTCGTAGAGACTAACCAAGAAGCTGGTGAGACTTTACTAGTTCTTCTTATGAAATTTGAAAATATTTTCTGCTGAAACAATCAAAGAGCATAGGGCTCTCTTTTGCTTCTACAATTTAACTGAAAGATGTAAACTTTATCTTTTTCTTACATTCACTTGCATACGAATACATAAACATCTTTTTTCTCATATTCACAGGTATACGGTGGTTTTCATCAGTTTACGTTGACTTCTCGCATATTTTGTTGATTTCGATTTTTTTCATGTACATTCACATGCTTAGGTTCGTCGCGATATTTTTTTTTTCCGCCGTATCAGTTTTTTTTTTAACTTCTTGAAGATCTGGGCAGGCTGGTCTTCATTTAAACATTTTGGTTGTGTTCTACATATGATGATGTATATAAATGTGGAGAAGGTAAAGAAATTTATGCTAAAGTAGAAAAAAATATTATTAAGAAATGTATATTTTGTGTTGTCTGTAGCATGTTAGATCTTGTTGGATTGTGATTTTTATTGCAGCATAGTTTATTTATAGCTACTTTAATGTTGTGATGAGCGATTGCCTTGAGTTCTCTCACCATTTGTGTGCTCAATGACATCAAATATCGAGTTCATGCAATTTATAATTTTATATTCCTATAACCTAGTTTATTTCTAAGCATGTTAAAAAAATTGAAACTAATGATTTTCTCATAAAATTGTAACTAATATTGCGATATTTGACGAATTTGTATTTCAATCACTGACATTTCAAGATTTGCAAATTATATCACCACCTTCACTTTTTCAAATCGGTACATGAATGTGGATATCCTTCTAAAGAAATGATGAAATTTCTTTGAATCAATCGGGTGATTGAATTAGCTTACTGTCAGGTTGATTGAGTATTTTTAGTTGATATTTAAAATATTAAAAAAAAACATTACACAACTGAGGTTGGTCATGAGTGATCTCCAACAAGTACGACAATTCCACTGGAAACATAGGTCAATTTGTCAGACAAATTCAATTATTGAAACTAAATATAATGCTTAATATTAAAAGTACTTTATTGCGATAAATGTAATGTAGGTCATAGTTCAAATAATCATATTTAGAATGCTTTTATGACAACATGTTGAATGATTTGTAAGAATTTTTATATTATTTATTAATAGTTACGTGGGCAAAATGATATTATATTACAATTTTATTAAAGTACGGTAAATCCAATGTTCTCATAAGAGGATCGTCTGCAAATCGATCAAGTTATTTATTCAATGAATTATTAGTTAAATTTTTTTTAATATATATGTGTAGTACTTTTTGTTAAAAAAATTATATAAAAAAAAATTAAATATGTGAACAATTTTCAAATTTTCAATGTTTAAAGGAAATGATAAATAATTTATAAATCTTCATTTTATTTAAATATATATTCTTATATATATATATATTAAACAAATTAAATGTAACAAAATTTATCTTAAAAATAGTACCGATCTTACAAGTCTGACGGAATGGTGTTGACCGTTCAGTAGCAAACATTTTATTCAAGTGAATCGAGCTGGTCTATAAATCCGTTCCCTATCCATCCGAAGGACAAATCGGTTCAATCCTATTTTGAATATAATAGGTAAATCATGATTAATGTCATTTATATTTATAATGCAATTGTAATATTATTTCTGGCACTAGCCAAGATCTATATAAAATGTAAATTAGCAAAAAAATCAAGCAAAATACCATTAATTTTTTTATTTTAATAATATCATCGCTCCCTAAAAAAAATCAAGAAATGCTATAGATACCTAATATTGTAATAGACGTGTACATAACACTCACATTGAGTGGACCGAGTGGACCGACAAAATCAAAAATCAAATAGACACACTCATATTGAGTGTTATGTATCCTCCATGCGCCACCTCCCATCATTTCCCGCCTGTTTATCTGATAAGAGTAAATTTGCAGAGAAAGTCGGAAAGAGAGAACTGAACTAGGGTTTTCGATATTCGCGGGGATGAGGCCCGACGATTACAAGTTCATGCGAATTGTGGACGCCGTGACTTGCGTTAATCAGAAAGTTAATCTCATCGGCGTCGTCGTCGAGACTAGCCTCCCCAAGAAATCTAAAGGAACAGGTACTTTTTTGTGTTCTTTTTTTTTTTTTTTAAACTCTCCACCGTACTTCAATAATTTTTTAACGTGTTCTTCATTTTCTTTTGGTAATTTTCTTTGTTTGTTTCAAGATTTTTTCTGTTCAGCGAGGATCATTGATGAATCATTGACGGCACCTGGTATTTTCATAAACTTTTTCGCTGAAACTATGGAGAAGCTCCCCAATTTAGAGTGTGTCGGTGATATAGTTATGGTTTCTCATGTTGTGGTAATCAATTTCTTACTCTTCACATAGTTCGGCTCTCTCTCTCTCTCCCATTCATTGTTTCTTAATCAATTTTTTTTTTTTTTCTTTTTTCGGCAGGTGAAAATGAGGGGTTCTGATGTTTATGGTTTGTTTAACAAGAAATTCTCATCTTTCGCCTTATTCGAAGGGGGACGCCATAGTGGCAAAGAAGTTGTGCCTTATCAAATTTCTTCGAAATATAAACCAAGAGACGAGGACAAGAAGTTTGTAACAGCATTAAGGAAATGGACTATCCAACACAAACTTGAAGGTAGGTTCTTGCATTCACGTGGTCTGCACATTGAGCACACATCTTTATTGCTGTTGGGTTGTTCAGATTAATCATTTTATCTTTTTAAGCTAGTTTTTCAGTTTTTTCGTGGAAAGGATGCATATTTCTTGCAGTTGAAGTCTCTTATTAGCTGACTGATAGAATTAATATGTTTGCAGTTTTCTGTTAAGCAGTCACATAGGGGAACATTTTGAAACAATGTTATTGGACTTAATAACATACCTTAGCAGGATTTTCTATGTTTGATTTTGATATATAGGCATAAATGAGTACCTGTCACTGAGAGAAATCAAAGAAGATGAACGTGTCAATCTTCTTTGCAAGGTAATTCAGAGTTATGTGTAACCTACTTGTAATTGACTCAAAGAGCTGGTATTGTTCTTTCCTTTAGTAGTAAGTAATTGTTCGTGTCCTGTTTTTGCTCCAATTCTAGATTTTGCATGTTTGTCAAGTCAAGGAAGACGAATGGGTGATCTTTGTTTGGGATGGAACAGACACACCGCCTGCTTCTGTTGACAGCAAGTTTGTATTTCTTCTCTATTATATACATGTCCATTCCTCTCACCGTTGTGGATATTAGGCTGTGTTATATATATACACACATGATGATGTGATATCTGGACATATTATATATGGGGTAAGGTGTCTCTGCTGTTGGACATGGGGAGTGCCGTTGGCCTCGAGAATGACTTTGTCATTAGTTTTGCAATGCATAAGTGTAACTGCTGAAATCGTTGTATTGCTTTGGGTCCGTAACCTATTTCAAGATAATTTAGTTTGTATAATTAATTTTTCAGCTCGCACATTTTTCATTATAGCTTGAATTTACTACAATACAATATCCAATTAGGATTTTGTTAGTTCGCATGGTTGGAAGCCAAAAGTAGATTGTAACATCATCTCAACTTGCCCAAAGGGGAATTATTTGTGCCTTATCACGAACAAATGGATGGAGTTGTGGTCTGATTGCATTGGATTTTAGATTAATTTGACATTAGAAAAATTGGTTCTTCTTCCTCTGGTGGCTCCCGTATCTAATATGACTCTTATTTAGTATCAAATAAGTTCTTGGTCACTTGGTTGTTTACACTGTTCCTTCATAATATCTGTTATCCTAATGATCTGGACACATGAATTTAGCATATTAAGAACCTAACTCTAAGCTATAATCATGTGTTCTTGTTGTCTGCCATTTCAGACTCGAAGATGAGATAGAAAATCCGATTCCTCTACAGTTGGAAATGCCTCCTTTGTCAAGAGACACTTTATGTACCTTTCCATCAGTTGGAACAGTCTTGAGGATGTTTGTAGATCAAGGCAATGACAAATTAGGCATAACCTTACTTAAAACAAATAGGTGGGTGAAACTTGTTGGTGTGAAATGTGAAGTTCGTGCTGCATCACGGTGTGCTATGTTGATGCCCTTCTCCAAGCTTTGCTATTTGCCTGATGATGACAGTGTTGTAATTGAGCGCCTAAGGTGATTACTGCTTCAAGTATTTTGTTATAAATTATAAGTATGTTATGCAACGGAATATATATTTGGCTCAGTATTCTATTTGTTTGTTTTATATTTCTGTTGAGTATAATATAACAACGTATTCATAATGTATCAGTGGTGGGTGTTCCTGATGATGTTGAAACAAGCCGTTTAGATGAAATTATTAGTTGTGTGATCCGCTTTGAATCCTCAATTTGCCTTTGAAATTTTATTATGAATATTTTTAGATAATTTAATAAAAATTCCAGTTGAGATTCTACTCAAACAAATTGTAAATATTATAGTATTTTATCTATTTGTTCTTTCTCTTAAATTTTGATCTTTATTTCTGCAACCAAAACATTGGACTTGACACCTTTGTTCGTAAAGATTGACGAGATCCAATTTAATATTCATACAAGACATTTGAATCAGGTCTTACGGTGAGCGTGTTTCATCTAAGTGGGGCCGAATACCCTTCACAAGTTTCCCTTGGCCGTCTCACATAACAGGTTTCATCGCAATAGATATTGGATGATTTTGCTTTGATCTATCTTTCTAAGTCATTGTCTAATATGCCCTTTATTTATTGATCTCCAGAGACGGATCACCCTGACATTGCCTTTGTAAGTTTAATGGATGTCCTCACACATCCAGAGGTGAGCCATCTCTTTCATTCTCTCCATCTATTGGTTATACAACAACACTCCTCTATATAACACGTATAAACATCATGTTTACATTGACATTTGTAGAAAACATACTATTTTCCTTGAATTTGTGTGTAACTGCACCTCTTTACGAAAGTTAACTGATATATGCTCTTGAATATTCAACATCTTTTTTACTTTATTATATTTGGCTAAACTCATATCTAATAGAACATTTCTATTCGTGCCCGATTAGCCATTTTCAGCCTTACAGTGAATCTTTTTTATTTGGTACATTGACATTAAGGTTCGATTGAAGTTCTGCTGTTTTAATATCCATGTGGATATATATCAAATCAAGAAAGTTTTTGAATGTGTGTGAATTTTTCAAGATCAAACTAATTCTATAAATTGTATACTATTCTCGTTCAATTTACCGAAAGAACTGATGTTGGGTACGTGTATGCAATATAACTTTTTTCTTTAATCATGAGTTAAATAGATCTTGATGTCACTTCCATCTTATGCGCCTGTGTGTTGCAGGTGACTTATAAATTTAGGTGTGTTGTTCGGGTTGTTGCAATATTTCCATGGAGGGTAGAGGACTTTAGCTCTCCTAATGGTATATACAGAGTGAGGTTGACTCTGGAGGATCCCACTGCAAGAGTTCATGCATTTCTATATGCAGAGGATGGGGTAAAAGACTTTGCTTATTATCTGATTTCTTATTTTTATTTTTTAGTTATTAAAATATCTCGTCATCATAATTTCCTTAAAATAGTGGTCTAAATCTTCCCTACTGTTGAACTTATGCTTGTTCCAATTTATTCACGAGTAATGTAAAATTTTGTTTGTAGTCATTGGATATCCCAAACCATATTAAATTGGTCTGAAAAATTGTAGTCATTATTTTGGAACGTTTACAGAGGAAATTTTTTGGGGAAGTTGATTCTGCCGATAAGCTAACACGGAAGAGAAATATGTTGCTTGGAATTGCTGAACAAGACGATGCTACGGCAACGAAAAATGTATCGCGAAATCCACCATGGATACAATGTTGCTTGAAATCTTATTATCTGGACAAAAGCAATATTTGGGGGAGTAGGAATTACCGAATATTTGGCACTACTTTTGTTGGATGATGATTGTATACAAGTTAGCCTTTGTGTGCCTTCAAATTAGGTAGAAAGCTTCATAATCTTTAGATCTTAGGTTTTAAGTTGTAACAAACTACGACATGTTGACTCCGTGTATAAACTTTGAGCGGTTAGTCAACTATGACATGTTGATTTTGTGTATTAAGTATTAATTTTGATCGGCTAGTCGGACCACCAACCTTCTTTCTGAACCATGTTCAAAATATAAGTAGTCCCCCACAAATTACTGCTTGATCACAACCAAAAAGTTCTTAAAATTAAAGTGCATGCAGTAATACATTGATTACTTGGAGTGCTTCATATTTATTGATGGATGTTTATTTCTTTTCACACACCTTCACTAAGAGGGGATATTTTAACAAGTATGCATTATACAGTTGTCTGGTTTGCGCTTAAGAAGCACGAACAAGTGAAGTGCTGCTGCTGTCTTTATTCAGTCTATAATTTCGATAACTTTACGTGGGAAAAGATCATCAAAGACATGATCCAAACTGCTTCCTTCCTAACTCCTCTGGTTGCTCGCACGGTGAGGGACATGTCTTGGAAAAAGTTCTTTGCCGTTCACCTCAGGCAAAACCTCCATCCTCTCCATACTAAAACCTTGGTTTTGCTTCATCGTCTGTTCAAACTCCTGTGGAGATGTGAAAAACATCGGCAAGTTGAACTCGTCCACCTTATTCTCTTCAATTATTCCCTGCATGAGAAGACCAAAATATCACATGTAATTGATCCAAAGTAGCTTTACTAAAAGAAACCGTTTAACCTAGAATTATAATAGTTACCTTTCTCGCCAGATCGACCAGGCAATCTCCCAACATATCGAAGAAAACACTGACAAGGAATTTCGAGTGCGGGACCCCATCCGGGCAAGCTGGCATGACGAGCATGACCAGCCCCCCCGAGACCACTTCCTGGGCCTGCGCATCGAGAAACTTGGACATATCATAAGCATGCTGTCGTAAATACGCTTCTATCACTTCCTGAGGAGCTCCAGTGTAAAATATCTTGCCCGAGTTTTTGACGGTGGATGCACGGGAAAGCCAATGCAGAACCAACGAGCAGTGCACGATATGAAGGTAGTCTCGTGGGAAAAGTCGGCCGTGGAAAGTGCTCGGGACACCCGACACGTGGTAGTCTCGGTTGGGAGGGAGGGATTTGAAAAGGGTGTTGAAGTCGTTGAGCACGTGGTCGCTAAAGTGGACATGGAACATGTTGTTGTGGTTTGTTAGTGAAAGTTTGATGGCCTCGATAATGTTGTGGACCGCTTATAAAAGTGTTGGGCCCCACCGAACACCATAAATCGGCGATGCGTAGCGTTTGTGGCGAGGATGCAACGAGGGGGTCGATGTTCTCGGTCATGGATTTTTGGACGAGCGGTTTAGCGCTATCAGTGACGGCTCTCTGCATCAAAAGCAGACTCATACATGTGAATGAGAGTTATAAAAGTAGACTAATACATGTCCTTATGGAGCAAGGGGGGCTGCTGTGGCTAACTAACAACAGTAAATCCCAGTCCTTCGTTAAACATAAATTAAACCAAAATCTAATGGCTAGAAATAAATAAAGAGATATGACAATCGGTGAATAAGACTTTTTCCGGCGATTTTCCCCTTTCAATGTCTTTTTTTTTCCTTTCTAATTCTTCTTTGTGCATAAAGCAAAGAAGAGTAAGGTTATGTTTGGCTCTATAATTTTGACTTGATGCATTTTACCTCTGCTTGGATTGAATTATTTTACTATTTTTTCCCCAATTTTGTCATACGTATCGTTGAATTTTGTTCATGTTTTTGGTTTAATTCTTGAATTAAGGAAATAAAAATTGTGTCTTCGTTTGTGACGCTTGAATTGTGTACGCTTCAACAAACAAAAAAATATAAAAAAAAAATAAAAATAAAAATCTTTCACTTTGTGAGCAATTTTGAAGATTTGAGTGTTGGTTTAAAAGAGCCTCTTTTGCATGTGAATTTAGCTTATGTATACATGGTAGTTGAGTGAGTTCTAGGCTGAGGTGTGAGCAGAAATATTTCTAAATGTGGTTTTGCAATTAAAGATTTTGTGTTGTAGATGTTCAAGCTCAGTCAATATAGCCCGGTGAATGTAGAGTTCTATTTACCATGTTCAAGCTTTAGTTCTCAAGCCTTAACAAGTGTATAATATGCAAAGACTTTACATTTGTCATATACTGTGGCCGATTTTATAAATATTGATTGATTGCAACAATTGTTAAGGCTAGCATAACGAACAAAAACTAAGAACACAATCGCATTCAAAGTTGGTTTGAAAGAAAAAAAAGAATCAATCATAATCGGGTATAAAAAGCAGAAATTATGACCCGATCAAAGACAGAGATTTTTGGATGCTCCACTTAACATGATCGGTTTCGAACTCGACAAAGTTTCAGCTAGTAAAGTTTCGGGCCACCTCATAATCATTCCAGAATGCTGCCTGGTACTAATCGTTTGAATGCCATATTATAATAATTGGTAATTTTTTATTAAGTTTAACTAATTTGAGATTGTGCAGTACCGTATGGTTCATGGAGGGGTATCGGCAATTATATCTGAGGCCTTAGCAAGCATACGAGCTCATATTGCCTTAACAAGTGAGAAGTTGCTCTAATGAAATGCGATCCTTCTAAAATCGGTACTAAAACTTTATCTCTTCCGCTTAGCTCAGTAACAACTGATGAGTGCCCCTAGCTCAACAACTCAGTCTAGCTCAGGAAGAGTGCCCACCTGATCGTCGCAACCCACTCAATTAATGGGGAGATCGATTGGTCTGATTGGCCTGTACTTTTTTCTTGCTAAGATGTGGACTGGTCTTAGTGGCAATCCAATTATACTCTTGGTATTGGATTTTTTTATCGTGCCTTATTGACTATGACAAGAGTCGCGACCAACGAGCCTCGTCCGAGGGACGGTAGCGGGTCTCTGTACGCTTATCTATTGCGTCTTCAAGGCTCACATTACTTTGCAACTTGTCTGTGCCGGATATTGCTAGAGATGCTGCTTAGAATCTTAAAAGATACGCAAAGTTATAGACCGACTTTGTTCTTCACTCTGATTCTTGTATTATTTATTTATTGTAGCACATTGCCACTTGATTGGAGGATTTGATGTTTACAGGCTTGTATGATACAGTGATTTTCTGTTTGCTGTATGTAATGTGAAGAGTAAGAATAATGAACAAGTGACAAAGTTTGTGTAAAATTAAAGAAAACCACAAGTAACACAACCCATTAAAACATTCTACTCAATCATAGATGAATCCATATGTTACAACAAAACAAATAGAGTACACTTTATTTCTTATATTTTTAATGGAAAAATGAATTAAAACAAAAATCATTCAAATCTAATCTTCTGAAGACCAATAAACTTCTAATGTAGGACTTTTGTGTGATGATTTTTCGAATTACCTATGTCTGCACATGACAATGTACAAAAACACCTAAATTCAAAACATTCTAAGCGCCTTTTGACTTTAGAAGTTTAGTTACGACAATTAGGTGAAACCGTTCCCAAGTTCTGCAAACGGACGTTATTACAGAAGGCTTTGGATTTCTCGCCACCTGTCCCGATCAAGTTCACATTTTGCAGAGTGATCCCCTAGCAAGGATGGCTTTTGCTGCATTTGAAATTGATGGCTTCATCTGAATTACTCGTGCCCTTGATGTTTCTGTATTCGATGTTCTTCACTTGTACGGATGAACTCTGAAGAAAAATACACGATAAAAACCACTATTTTATCGTTATTATTCATTATTTTGCAGCAAAATTAACAGCATGTCGTGTGACTGTCTATCTAACCTGTTCTTTGCACGGTTCCTTTTGAATGGCAGTAACTTTGGTCGATATATATTGGGTTTTTCACTCCTTGCATTTCTATATTGTGGAACTTAATATTTTTTGCACTTCCAGAGCCATCCTGATTTGTAGTAAATAAGACAAGTGTTAAAAAAACTTGTAATAAAAGTTAAAACAGTAAAATGGTGATTAACTAACTTACCTGTCATGTATTGATTCTAACTCCATTAATTGTTCTAGAAAGCTTTCCTCTGTTGACTACACCGCCTGAGACATATTCTTCTAAATTTTCAGAACCTAAGCTTCCAATACTGATTTTTCAAAACAAGTACCAGAAAAAAAGGGTCATTATCTCTGACTATAAAATTCTAATAATATTTTCATAAATATTTTTTTATATGATTGATTGAAATTTAAATCATTACCTAATGCCATGGCCTGGTCCACATGTAATATTTATAGCTCGAACTTTCTCTGATCCACTGACGATCGAAATACAATCATCGCCTAATCATAGGTTCAATTTTTATTAAAAATTGTCATCATTTATATATACAAATTCATCAAAAAACTTGTTATAAATTTTTTTCACGGTGAGAACTTATTTTACCGGTGTCAGTAATGCAGCTCGATATTTGGATGTTTCGAGTGCCTGTGACATGAATTCCATCAGTGTTGGGGATTTTCTCGGGGGCATTTTAAAGAATAGTAGTTAAAGTGAGAAAAAGTGAGACACTACCTCAAATAAACTTAAGAAGTTTCTAGCCATTAGATTTTGTTTTAATGTATAATTAATGAATGGCTGAGATTTAACTGTTGGGGCTGCTGTTAGTTAGCCACAACAGTCCCCCTTACCCATCCTCATGCATGCAACCTTTTTGGACACGTGTTAGTTGGCATAAAACAACACCATGCAATAAATATGTTGTATTGAATATGTTCCAACACCATGCAATTGATTGCATACAAAACAAAAAAGACACATTAAAGAGCATTGAAAAACTTCATTGTCGATCTCATTTTTCTGGGCGATCTCTCGTTCTTTTATTGTTATATTTAGCCCTTAAATTAGTTTGGTAACTTTGTATTCTCAACAATTGGTGCTAGAGGAAGACCATATATTGGGTTTTGGTGAATTTTCAACCTTCAATAGCCCAAACACGTCCACTTTATCAATCCACGCAATTATGTCGTCACCAAGCGATCACAATAACAACCAAAATGTTCAAGGGGGACAACTTCCATCCCCATAGTGATAAAACTAAGTTTTTCACCCAAATGCTCTAAAATATGCTTCACAATACTACCCCTCAGAAACCAATCTCTAAAATCCACAACCACTTGTCGCGGTGTCCTATGAGGGCAACTCTCTTAATCTCCTTGAGACCCATAATAAAGACAAACATAAGCCCGACCCCACAACAAAAACCCATAAAATTGTTGGCGAGATCCAAGCTGGCTTCCGTGCAACCATAAGTTTGAACGTTCACTATGTGTTCGATTGCTTGGTAAGAAACCCAAACGTGGTGATCTCTGTCACCAACTCACAAAGAGAACCCTCTGCAAGGAGGCTGAATAAATCGCCTCTTTGAAGCAGCGAATCAGTGATCTCGAGGCCCAATAGATACCAAAAGATGTACATCGGCTTGTCGCTGATTCATTATCCCGTTTTCCTTCACCATCTCTGGGTGGCGTTTCACTGAATCCCTCATTCCTTCTCACATCTTGGGTGAAGCGCTACCCACAAATTTAAAGTTCTCCATATCAGCTTGTATAATGGGGACACCAATCTCGATTCTCATCTAGGCCTATATACATCTTGGATTGATTTTCATGGGGCCAGCAATACCCTGAGATGTCGTACTGTTTCTCTCCCTTTGGGTCCGAAGGCACAACGGTGGTACCATTTGTTGTATAGTTTTTCGAGCCTATATGTCAACTTCTAGTGATTCGTAATTACATGTGTTAAATTCTGCTACTTCAAAGTTGTCTATATAGATGTAGAACTTTTAAAATTATAAAACACTTAACAAAATTAAATTATAAATATATTTTAGAAGTTATTTGTACTTATTATCAGATGTGTTATGTTTTTTATATGATAGATCAAATTGTGATGAGTTTACATTTAACTTTCATAATGTACTAGGACAACGCCCGTGTATTACACGTGTGCTTGCTAATTTTTTCTTAAAATATAAAATTAATGAGAAAAATTAATTAAAAATTTCAATACCTTTTATAAAAATATATATTATTATATATTTAGTATGACACTTTTTTATTTGTTCGACTTACCTGTGTTATATTATAATAATTTTTTTGACTTACAACATATAATTACATTAAACATAAATATATCAATTGATAAATAATTTTATTTTTCTAATGATTTTTAATAAATA